ATCTGCATGGAACACAAATAAAATAGATTTGGGTATCAAATATACTTTAAAACTATCTGTCTGCCTCATGTAGCTAAAAAAGTAATCTTTTTTATAAGCATCATGTTAGCAACATGTTAATTGTGTTAGCGTTGGCGAGTTTTGCCACTGCAAGCACCACTGCTTCAAGAAATGTACATTCTCTCTTTTTCTCTCTCTCACACACACACACACACACACACACACACACACACACACACACACACACACACACACACACACACACACACACACACACACACACACACACACACACACACACACATCTCTCTCTCTCTCACACACACACACACACACATCTCTCTCTCTCACACACACACACACACACACACACACACATCTCTCTCTCTCTCTCACACACTCTCCCTCTCACACAGACTCACTCACACACACACTCTCTCGTGATGTTAATGCGGTGTGTGTGTGTGTTCAGACGGTGACTCCGGCTCCAGGAGAACACCCGCTGCAGTATAACTACACCTTCTGGTACTCGCGCCGCACGCCCAGCAGACCCGCCAACACTCAGAGCTACGAGCAGAACATCCGGCAGATGGGCAGCGTGGCGTCGGTACGCGCACACACACACACACACTCATCCTCCGCTTCATCACTGCTGTGTGTGTTTCATGTTCACGCTCTCGGTTCAGGTGGAGCAGTTCTGGAAGTTCTACAGTCATCTGGTGCGGCCCGGAGACCTGACGGGACACAGCGACTTCCACCTGTTCAAGGAGGGAATCAAGCCCATGTGGGAGGTGTGTGTATGAGTGTGTGTGTCTGTGTGTATGGCTGTGTGTATGACTGTGTGTGACTGTATGACTGTGTGGGAATGTGTGACTGTGTGTGTGACTATGACTGTGTGTGACTGTATGACTGTGTGTGTGTGTGTGTGTGTGTGTGTGTGTGTGTGTGTGTGTGTGTGTGTTTTTTACATTTACATTTATTCATTTAGCTGACGCTTTTATCCAAAGCGACTTACAATTGCTATATTTCAGAGGTCGCACGCCGCTGGAGCAATTAGGGGTTAGGTGTCTTGCTCAGGGACACATTGGTGTCTCACAGTGGATCCGAACCCGAACTGTGTGTGACTGTATGAATGTGTGTGACTGTATGACTGTGTATGTGTGTGTGTGTCTGTGTATGACTGTGTGTCTGTGTATGACTGTGTATGACTGTGTGTGACTGTGTGTGACTGTATGACATTGTATGACTGTGTGTGACTGTATGAATGTGTGTGACTGTATGACTGTGTGTGTGTGTGTGTGTCTGTGTATGACTGTGTGTCTGTGTATGACTGTGTATGACTGTGTGTGACTGTGTGTGACTGTATGACATTGTATGACTGTGTGTGACTGTATGACTGTGTGTGTGTGTGTCTGTGTATGACTGTGTGTGACAATGAATGTGTGTGACTATGAATGTGTGTGACTGTATGAGATTATGTGTGTGTGTGTGTGTGTCTGTATGACTGTGTGTGTGACTGTATGACTGTGTGTGTGTGTGTGTGTGTCTGTCTGTGTATGACTGTGAGACTGTATGACTGTGTGAGACTGTATGAATGTGACTGTATGAGACTGTGTGTGTCTGTGTATGAGACTGTGTGTGTCTGTGTATGAGACTGTGTCTGTGTATGAGACTGTGTCTGTGTATGAGACTGTGTGTGTCTGTGTATGAATGTGTGTGACTGTATGACTGTGTGAGACTGTATGAATGTGACTGTATGAGACTGTGTGTGTCTGTGTATGAGACTGTGTGTGTCTGTGTATGAGACTGTGTGTGTCTGTGTATGAGACTGTGTCTGTGTATGAGACTGTGTGTGTCTGTGTATGAATGTGTGTGACTGTATGACTGTGTGAGACTGTATGAATGTGACTGTATGAGACTGTGTGTGTCTGTGTATGAGACTGTGTGTGTCTGTGTATGAGACTGTGTGTGTCTGTGTATGAGACTGTGTCTGTGTATGAGACTGTGTGTGTCTGTGTATGAATGTGTGTGACTGTATGACTGTGTGTGACTGTATGAATGTGTGTGACTGTATGACTGTGTGTGTCTGTGTGTGACTGTATGAGATTGTATGACTGTACGTGTGTGTGTGTGTGTGTGTCTGTGTATGACTGTGTGTGTGTGACTGTATGAATGTGTGTGACTGTATGACTGTGTGAGACTATAACTCTGTGTGTGTGTGTGTGTGTGTGTGTGTGTGTGACTGTGTGACTATGAATGCGTATGACTGTGTGTGACTGTATAACTGTATGTGAGACTATGACTGCGCGTGTGTGTGTCTGTGTGTGACTGAATGTGTATGACTGTGTGTGTGTGTGTGTGTGTCTGTGTATGACTGTGTGTGTGTGTGTCTGTGTATGACTGTGTGTGTGTGACTGTATGAATGTGTGTGACTGTATGACTGTGTGAGACTATAACTGTGTGTGTGTGTGTGTGTGTGTGACTATGAATGCGTATGACTGTGTGTGACTGTATAACTGTATGTGAGACTATGACTGCGCGTGTGTGTGTCTGTGTATGACTGTGTGTGTGTGTGTGACACTGTGACTATGTGTGACTGTGTGAGACTATAACTGTGTGTGTGTGTGTGTGTGTGTGTGTGTGTGTGTGTGACTCAGGACGAGGCCAATAAGAACGGGGGGAAGTGGATCATCCGGCTCAGGAAGGGTCTGGCGTCCCGGTTCTGGGAGAACATCATCCTGGCGATGCTGGGAGAGCAGTTCATGGTGGGAGAGGAGATCTGCGGCGTCGTCGTGTCCATACGCTTCCAGGTACTGATGCATTCTGGGAAACCGCTTACAGGGACTGATGCATTCTGGGAAACCAGGCTCTCGGTGGCAGTCGCTCACCAGACATGATCGTTCTGACATCATTTCCTCCAAACCTGCATGACTTCCTTCAGTGAAACACAGAAGATGTTGTGAACAGAGAACATGTGGTTAGTTCTGTTCTGATGTGTGTGTGTGTGTGTGTGCGTGTGCAGGAGGACATTCTGTCCATCTGGAATAAAACGGCCCATGATCAGGTGACCACGTCACGGATACGAGACACACTGCGACGCGTGCTGAACCTCCCGCCCAACACCATCATGGAGTACAAGACACACAACGACAGTCTGAAGTACGTCTCACACACACACACACACACACACACTGAACCTCCCGCCCAACACCATCATGGAGTACAAGACACACAACGACAGTCTGAAGTACGTCTCACACACACACACACACACACACTGAACCTCCCGCCCAACACCATCATGGAGTACAAGACACACAACGACAGTCTGAAGTACGTCTCACACACACACACACACACACACACACACTGAACCTCCCGCCCAACACCATCATGGAGTACAAGACACACAACGACAGTCTGAAGTACGTCACACACACACACACACACACACACACACACACACACTGAACCTCCCGCCCAACACCATCATGGAGTACAAGACACACAACGACAGTCTCAAGTACGTCTCTCACACACACACACACACACACACACACACACACACACACACACACACACACACACACACACACTTAACCTCCCGCCCAACACCATCATGGAGTACAAGACACACAACGACAGTCTCAAGTACGTCTCACACACACACACACACACTGAACCTCCCGCCCAACACCATCATGGAGTACAAGACACACAGCGAGAGTCTCAAGTACGTCTCACACACACACACAGACACACACACACACACACACACACACTGAATTGTCTCTGATCCTCCTGTTGTTCTTGTTTTCTCAGGGATAATTCCAGCTTCCGGAATACGAAGATCACTTTGTGAAAACCTGGAAATAATTTTCATATGGACATTCCTTTTTACACCACGAGCCAGCGACGCAGAATGAACGCTCTGTGTGTGTGTGTGTGTGTGTGATGATAATATTGTCCTGAATTATTCCACCGGTTTGATTGAGTCTGCTTTATTCCTGTCACGTGTTTCATCAGATTCAGTGTTTTTGAATTGAGAACGTGATTAAAGTTCAGCTCATCAAATGACAGATTACAGAAAACAGCTTTACTGTAAACACACATTTCAATGAAGCGGTGTCATTTAAGCCCAATGAACACTCTAGTTGAAAGGAAATACAGTTTTAAATAAAGACATTAGTGTGTATCTGATGCAAACATGTTCTTCCTCAGTCTCATTTTCATCCTTAAATCGAGATACGTTTACTGCAGAATCATTCTGTCCTCTTTTATTATTTATCCAATGTTTTGACGTTTT